CTTGAAACCTCAATTTCACTATATAGAGGTGGAGGAGGATCCGAGAGGGGACGCAACGACTAGCTATCAAAAATAGTAAGGGATGACATGACTACCGTGAAAATTAAGACGAAGAGTTGAATTTTGTTAATGTCGAAGTATGACAGATCGGTAAAACAAGAATCAGGCAGCAGTTTGAGAAAACCTATCGTCCGAAGTTAGCATAGAGTTTTGTCTTGCTTGTATGAGGTGTTTGATGTGAATAAGAAACACCACTCGTATCTCCTCAGGTCTTTTCAGTTTACATTGCGGTCTTCATTCAACCAAGAGTGACGACGGTGCAGCCGCGGTACCATGGGCTCCAGAGAGAGCAGCGGCCTAGCAAAAGCGAATTCCACGAATCCGCACCGAAAACAGCTCACACCATGTCGCGTCCTCATTTCGATCCAACTTCTTCTCCGTGCCCCTCGCCCATTCAAACAGTGACTGGGAGTCGCAGGGGTAGAGATACCCCGCCAAGGATATGTTTGCCACAGCCATTGGTTCCTGAAGTTCCTCATGGAGACGAAGCGGACCAGGAACCCCAGTATGTGGCGCCATATTGCTGATTTCATGTACACATGTCTCTCCAAGGTAAACAACGCCGTGAGCCTCGCGGCCAGGACCTTGTGCCTTTTACAAAATCACGTGCCTGTTTGGCTGAACGAGCCGAAGGGTGGAAAATGAGGTTGGGGCATGTCCATGAGGACCTGGACAGATTCTCGCCTGTTCTCGATGCATCTTGGAAGGGGGATTTCGCAGTTCCCAGGCCGAGCATTTTATTCTCGTATGAGTCGGGGGTACCTTCGGCGGGGGATGCAGCGCGTACTCTGGGATAACGCGGTCTGACCTTTTACCAGTGTCACATCATTGGAGATGCGTAGCGGTAACGGGGTTGGGAAGCAAAGTGTTAGAGAGCGGAAGGGCACATGGAAAGACGTACCAGTTAGTAGAGAAGGAAAGCCAAATTGATTCTGATGGATTGTCGCGATAGAAGCTTATAAACTGGCTGTATGGGGTTGTAAATAAATCATCAGTATGGCGATCAGATCGAAAAAGCCTCATCTAAAGTCACGAGAGCTGAACAGCTCGCTGATTCTCATTAGAACTGTAAAAGTTGAAGCAAGTGTCGTGATGAGAGAAGGAAGAAGCGCATGGAGACGGAGAGATGGTGACGGAGGAGTGTTTTGTAGTCATGCACGGAGGAACGATCGCCCTAAGCCGTATTGGGGCGGGGTATACAGAGGGCAATTCTGGCCAAATTGATCAGTCTCTCCCCTCATTTTCACGAAGTTCCAAGACTCCCGAGGACGGGGTGTCCTTTTCAAACTGATTACCACACTCGAGTCGCATTAACAGGAGCTGTCAAGGTAACTGAGCAATTACCATTGATTCGAAACGTCTGACATCCCGGTGCTGAAGCTCCTGCGTGCATCCGAATAACTGATCCTCCTACATAACAAGCATATTGGCTCCGTCCCCGCCATGGATTTCCTCAAGTCAGCCGTCGCATCTGCGATCGCAAAAGGCAGCTCATTCCCTTATTCGCTCGGCGACAGAGTCGACGTCTCAGACTCAATCTGGACCCTCCATAATGCTACCAAACGGGTATGATACTCCCCGAGATGTTGAAATTACAGGACGCTTACAATGCGTGGTTTGTATAGGAAGACGGCTCCCCGTGCAGCGTGTTCACCTTCGATATTTCTTCAAACAATTCTCGCACTCCTTTGGCCAAAAATGCCGTGCGAAAATCGCGGACCTTGAGACATCCCGGGGTAATAAAAGTGCTGGACACTATCGAGGTACCTGGAATCTAATCCTTGGGCGCACTCACACCGGACATGATGCGAGACAATTCTTCTCTACTACGTGCGCATATACTTACAGAATATAGACAGATACCAACATCTACATCGTGACCGAGCGGGTTGTTCCTCTGTCCTGGCATGTCAAGCGCCGAAGTCTGAGCAGGGAAACCTCAATATGGGGGTTGTATACGGTGGCTGTAAGTGCCAGAATCAGAAATCTGTGTCTCAAGATACTTGCTGAATTTGCTTTTGCCTCGCTCCTGTAGTCTACTCTCAAATTCATCAATGAAGATGCTTCTTCCGTTCATGGGATTGTCAGGGCATCCTCAATATTCGCTAGTGAGAGTGGTGAATGGAAGCTTGGAGGATTTGATGTCTTGAGTTCCATGAACGACGAGAATGCGGTAATATATGTCAGTCGATCACTACCGGCCAAGTCTGAGGGATCTTTGAACTCGCTGACGAAAATACAGACATACGGTAGCCTTGTACCAGACGCGGCTCGGTACACTCCGCCAGAAGTCGTCAAGGGTGGCTGGGATATAATCAAGAGACATCCCTTGGCAGCAGTGGATGCTTATGGGCTTGGCATCCTGATATACGAGGTCTTCAATGGCAGTTTTGCGGGAGGTGACCAAGTCGGCAAAACGACGAATGTACCACCCAGCATGCATCAAAGCTACAGGCGTCTCTGCACAGCCAATCCTAAAATGCGGTTGAGCGCGGCACATTTTGTTGAGCAAGGGAAGAAGACGGGTGGCTTCTTTCAGACACCGTTGATCCGGTTGACGGACGACATAGAGAGCCTGGGCCTTAAGAATGATGCCGAGCGGGAGGAATTTATCAAGTAAGTTCAAAGCATGTCGCGTATTCTGCTGCGGTAAGACGTTGTGAGCTGACTCTACCAGTGAGCTTGATGAGCTTTCAGACGATTTCCCTGAGGAATTTTTCAAGATGAAGGTCCTGCCGGAATTGCTCAAATCAGTCGAATTTGGGGGCGGTGGTCCGAAAGTCTTGAGTGCTATCTTGAAGATCGGGACGAAACTGTCACCAGATGAATACAGCTCCAAGTTAACGCCTGTCATTGTTCGCTTATTCGGCAACCCTGATAGAGCTCTTCGGGTCTGTCTACTCGACAACCTACCATTAATGATTGACAACCTACCACAGAAGATTGTAAACGACAAAATCTTCCCACAGATGGTAAGCTTGAGCGGAGACTCCAATATCTCGGACGGAGACTGACATACCCGTGACCTTCTAGACGTCAGGATTCACAGACGTCGCGCCTGTTGTTCGAGAACAGACGGTCAAAGCTGTATTGTCGGTCGTCAGTAAACTCAGTGACCGAACTATCAATGGAGACCTGTTGAAGTTCCTCGCGCGAACCGCAAACGATGAGCAGCCAGGTATTCGGACCAACACGACCATCTGCTTGGGTAAAATCGCGAAACACCTCGGACAAGGTGTAAGTGCAAAGTGGCCACTTATCCTGTCAGGTTGAAAAGTACTAAAATTTGTCCGCAGTCACGTCCAAAGGTCCTCATTGCCGCGTTCACCCGATCACTGCGAGATCCTTTCGTCCATGCCCGCAATGCCGGTTTGCTCGCGCTGGCTGCAACAATTGAGTTTTTCAACGAGGAGGATTGCGCAGGCAAGGTCCTTCCCGCTATTTGCCCATCTTTGCTGGATAAAGAGAAGTAAGTCCTCAGTCTTCAGTCCCTTTTCTTTTTCGGCCCTGCACTAACGGAATATTCTAGGCTGGTGAGAGACCAAGCGAACAAAACTCTAGACTTGTATCTACAACGCATTCGCAATTGGAGCAGCTCAATGGCCGATACGGCACTGCCAGCCACCGCTAGCGCAGAAACACCCAAGGATGCTGCGCGTATTGGAACATCAAATGATAAGTCCTGGGCCGGGTGGGCAATCTCCTCGTTTACCAACAAACTTACGACAGCCAACGGTGAGATACAGCCAACTACGGGTACTAGTAAACCGGCCGAGACGGAGGCAGCTCGCTCAGCATCCGTACCTCGTCCCACAAGATCATCACCCTCCACGCCGCTGGATCTACCTAAGAAGGTATTACGTGCCGAGGCTCAACCTCTAGGACGATCTCTATCGGACCAGCCGGTTTCGAGCACCATAACAATGAATGAAACGGACGATGTCTACGAAGCTTGGGGGGCTATTGATGACGATGATGAGGAGGAGAATGGATTGAAAGACGACGATCCGTTCAGTGCCCCAATTGTCACCAGCTCCCCGGCGCCAAAGTCCGCCACTGTTCCTTTCGATGATGGAGGTGAGCCCGACTTTGCCGGGTGGTTGGCCGCACAATCTAAGGCCAAAGCGAAGAAACCCTTGCCCAAAGGTTTAAGCAAGCCCGCCGCAACGACAACTAGAACTCGAACCCCCAGTCATACTAGCCTTTCCAAACCAAAGACAGTGGTAGCCCCCACCAAAAGAATTGATACGAAGCCCAAGGATGAGGATGAAGATGATGGTTGGGGTGACGCCTGGGATTAATGCAATGAATATGACTGCTTGATCTCTCATCGAGTCTCGTTTTGATTTTCAGCGTTGCAAGGCATGGAGTTTTGGATCGTTGGATAGCTTTGAGATACCAAGCACATATTGTAACATGACGATAGACTACCAATCCCGCTGAGTTTCTATTATTGTCCGTCTAACTCCATAGAGTCCCTGACTTGTTGATATGAATCAGATGATGCTTATCGATTGAACGTGCAAATCCCGTGATCAGCACTGACTAACGCTCTCTCTCTCTGCTTCTCCGCCGCTTCTTCTGGCAGTACTTGGTGCAAGCTTCGGCTTCATCGTCAGAGTCCTGCTTACGGGGCTTCTATTACGGAAATTTTTTGTACATTTGTGAGTTAGGAGGCGATATCACCTTATTAGTAGTACGGTATGGCCTATGCACAAGGAGCTGACTGTTTTCTTTGACAGACCCTCGTTAATTCTGCTGCCTTCGCAGTACATCGCCCGATCTCAAGCCGTGCGGGCATCACTGTTTGGGGGGATATCTGGTTTTTCCTGATCATCAGTCAAATGCGCGATGCTTGATCATTAATCAGCCCACTTTCTATTGTTTCCAGTAAAGTCACTTCCGACGTTGCGGTTGGACAATTATTCGACAATCTTGTGATGGATTCCGACGAGGCTCCTCCGCCATACTCCGCCGTCGATCCCTTGCTCGCACCGACGGTCAATAATAGAGATAACAATGCGTCGGCAGAAACGGCTCGTACCTTTCTCCGCCTTCGCGGAGGTGAAGCGTCGTTGAGCGATATCGCGTCCAGAGATGGCTCGGCAGCTTCCGTTGATGGTTCCTCAGCGGCGTCTTTCGCCCTCCCAGCCAACTTCGCATCCGCTACGGCCTACTTCATAGAGCGACCTCCAACTCATTTTGACGAGGAACGGCCTGCTCTCTCGCACCTTCTCACCATCTACCCGCGGAGCCAGTCTAAAGACTTCCCCCGTCGTCCTCGGTGTTGGAGCCCTCGGACGGCGGAGATCACCCAGCAGGACTGGGACATGTTTCTGAAATATCTGTTTCCTCCGCACCTGGGCCTTGCGGCATCGTCCGCTCACTTACCTCGGCAGCTGAGAGCCGAGATACAGAGAGATCGAAAAGATCGCCCGCAAGAGACAGATGAGCAACGCCAACTGCGAATCGCAGCTGTGATTGAGGAATGGAACGAATGCTTTTTTGGACCTCGTGCAACTCGCATCGAATTCATTTATGTGACGGAATCTGAGAACGCGCCTGTCTCTCCATTGTGTCCTCGTTGTTACCCGGCCGCGACTAAGGCATCGCGGGCGAACCGGTCAACGCAGGCACAAGAGGCTGGTGAAAATTCCGCATCCGTCCCCGCGGGCATGCTGCCAACGGTCGCAGGGCAACCGACCGCACCGCCAGCAAGCGTAGCATACGCAACTGGGGTGTACCCGTACCCAAATCCGCAGATGCCTCCTGCCCCCTACCCACCGTATGGTCCTCCTGCCTTTTTCCCCCCTGGTATAGTTCCTAACACCCCTCCTCCTCCTCCTCTCGCATACCCTTACCCTCCTCAACCGCCTTCACAATATCAGCAGCCTTCCTCATGGGGCTGGAACAATCGTCCGTACGGTCCGCAGTATCAGTACTCAAGCACCTCCAAAGCTGGTCCTTTTGGCTGGTTATCATCGCTGGCGTCGCATGCGCAGAAGTACAGTGAGCGCATTACGGAGCAAGCGCAACATTATGGAAGGCAGGTTGAAGAGCAAGCCATGGCTCATGGACGCTGGATAGAGGAGCAGGCCGGACTTCGCAGTCGAAAGCTCGAGGATGTTTTTAGCGGTCTGTCCAGCCCTCCTCGTGTGGAGTATGCTGCCAACAACCCACAAGCTCAAGGCTATTGCACCAATGGCTATGGCTACCAGCCAGTCAATGTGGTGTCAACTCAACCCGTGACCACACCGGTCACCCAGCCTGCTCGTAGAACATCAGTCGGCTCTGTTTCATCCGAGTCATCTTTCTCATCGATCGATTCGATATCGACGACGTCTGACCTCAGTTCGTCCGATTTGGCGACTGTTCGAGCACAGCTTCAATCTCTTAACAACCATCACGACCGCGAGCTGTACGAAGCGGCAGTTGGTCTTCGGCGTCAGCTCGATGTTTTGCGCGAATCCCGCCGCCAATCTCGCATTTCTGGAAGAGGCCGTTGGAGAAATGGATGGGGGCACGATGGGCAGCAAGGGCTCGGCCGTGGCGGCTGGGGCCGGTGGGAGTCACCACAGGAGCAGCAGCGGAGCTCTGCTGAGAGACGTGCCCTGAAGGAGGAGGTGAGAGCCACCAAGAAAGCATTCAAGGATGTGTTCCGTCGTGCAAGGGATGAACAACGGGAACGACGGAGGATCAAGCGTAACCGCTGGCGTCAGGAACGACGGTCCCGCCAAACATCAAGGGAGAACGAGCATCCTCCCGAAACTCCTCTGGAGCAGCGGCTGCAGAATTTGGAACTGAGCAATAGCCAGGAGAGGGGGACAATGGTTCGTATAGGCGCACCGTGTGCGTCCCCACGGCAATCTTTGAGTTCTGAGGCCAGTGGGATTAGCTCAATAAACACACCAAGCACTGGGTCCGATGGCGGCAGTCGCGCAAATTCCAGTGTTCGCAGAGGAGAAGCACCGACAAGGGTGAAGACAGAGGAAAGCAAAGACGGGCAGAAACAAGGCGAGACGCTAAAAGGAAATAGTAGTTCTCCGTCGAAGAAAGACAAAGGTTCTGGCTCGAACGATGCATCGTGATGGCCGCCTGTCTTTGAACAGGAGTCACCGCCATCGAGTGCATGGAGAACACCAGCACTATACAAGAGGGTAGTTGGTCAGTACAGGATCCTCATATGCCTGGATCTTATTATGATGTTATGACTTGGCATTTAGTAGATATTCATGGGCGCATTTTGGGCTAACACGTTGATACTTGGATCTCATTTCAAATAACCTGGTTCAATGGACATGCCACTGCTTATTCCGTAGGTCGAGCACGTTTACCCAGGATTTCATGTAATCTTTCAGAGAGACTAGCTCTTAGAGGTATATGTGATTGACCACGAAGACTCGGTTCTACGAGCCGACACTTTGTTGCGAAGGGTTGGCTTCATTCCTCTCCACCAGATCGCCGACACCCAAACTCCGACCGACCTTGACGCGAACGGTCTTTTCCTCCTTCTTGCCCAAACTTCCAACTTCGTCGCCCTCATCGGTGTCCTTTTCGTCACTCTTGGCGCGCTCTCTGTCCTTGCGTTCGATCTCCTTCCAGTCCAGCCATTGACCGGTAAGGTCCATGCGCATGGCGTACGCATCCTCCCCATCCGCGTAGTACTTGCTCTCGACGGACTCGACCTTGAAGCCGAGGGTGTCACGGTACAAACGCAGGGCGGCGGTGTTGGAGACACGCACATGCAGCGAAACGTAACTGGCGCGATGGGACTCGGCCATGGCGCGTTCTTTTTGTTTTCCGATCAATCTCCGTCAGTCAGGAACAGGAAAATTTGTCAAGGGAAAAAAAACTTGACAGGAAAAAGCAACGGGAGAGAAGCATACGGCTCATCCTCATCAGTCTCTCGGCAATACCCAACCTGCGATGCGTCCGCATCACACTCAAACTCGTGATATGCCCGTGCTGCACCCCGTCCGTCGGCTCCTCCTCCATCTTCGCAAGCACGTACCCGACTACCTTGGGATACTGCCCGGAGAGGTCCCCGGTGCCGGTGCCTGCCGTGCCTGGGGCACCGCCCTTGTGTTTCGAGTAGCCATTGCGGGGCCGCACGACGGCCACGAAGCTCAGCTGCGGCCAGGTCAGGGCATGGTAGAGGTAGTATTTCAGAAAGTAGTTTTCGGGGAGGTTGGTGATGTTGCAGGTTTGGATGGAGGGGAGGAGGTCGATGTACGAGGGGTAGGAGGAGAGGGGGACGATGTCGACCATTTTTTTATTTCCGGCTTGATTTGTTGCGAGGTTGGAGGTGTGGTGGTGTATGGCAAGCTCCTGGCACTCTGGCCGATTTTTCAGGAGGTCTGGCAGATATATAGAGGCCCAATTGAGACTGCCTGGCCTTTCGACGGAATGGAAAATGGGCTTGAATGGGTGCGGAGCTCGAACAATGGAGAGCGTTGATGATGACTGAGAACCGGAAATCATGTGGTTAGAGCGCGCTAAACCCTATTCAATCAGCCAATCGATATGCGTCAACATATCCATTTGGACAATGGATGGCACCCTCTATTGTTGATGCAAATGTATGTAGTGTTCACCATGTTTCCATGTCATAGCGGTTAGAGCAACCTTCTTGGAAAATCATGATGCAGAATAATCCCGGTTTCTATGCCTAAATATAACCCTCCGTAGAGGCCGAATGCTATATGAACAAACATATGTACAATGTCACCAAGCGGTATCAATGCAGTCATATCATCATGAAAGAAAATGCCTCAATATAATGGCAACCCACAACTCCGGATGCAGTCAAGTAAATGAAAAAGCCGCGGTCTATAGGGTGAAGATGAATACAAAGGCCAAATCTCAAGCTAGAAGATCGAGGTGAACAATTGAACACCTGCAACAACGAACAGCGCGCTCAGCAAGCTTCCTGCCGGCATCAGACTAGGAGCAGCAGAAGTGGATCCACAGCAGTTGCCGTTATAGGTAACGTTGTTCATCTGCGCTGCTACTTCAAAAACAGAGCCATTGAAATTGCCGTAATTGTAGTAGTCGACAAGGAGGAAGTTGGGGGGACGATTCCACATGGCTAGAACAGGTTAGAGCCGGACATCATCTCCTTGTAGCGACTTGACAAGCATGAGGAGAACTTACTAGAGCAGTTCTCAGCCATTCGTCCGAGACTACCAGGCCCAGATACGGCATTCGTCTGGTTCAATTGCGCGGTGTTGGGGATGAGCAGATCGATGTTGGCAATGTTGATCTCGACGTTCAAATTGTGGTTGGCCATGTACAGGCGCTTATGAGCATCCTCATCTGAGAGACCAGGGGGACGTTGAATGGTGCAAGGGAAAGCTGGGTCGGTTGGCGAGAACGGCGTCTCCCACATTTGGGAAAATTCGTCCATCAGCCACGGAAGAGCAGTTTGGTTGGCTTGGTAGTCCATAAACACGACAGCTCTTTTGCCAGACAGGATCATGGCCGACAAGGTTGGCCAGTCGTCCAGGGCCATGGGAATCTTCGGAGGGGTATAGACCAGATCGGACAGGCCCGAGTCCTCGATCGGCTTGGAGAAATTTCCGGGTGCGACATAGTCGTAATTCCCAATAAGAATGGTGACCACGTCGTAGGGGTGCTGTTTCATCCATTGGGTGACCGTGGTGAAGTAGTCGGTCAGGGTGCCCACGTCGAGTAGATCACAGCTCGTATGACAGAGGTACATGGTGTTGTTCTCATAGTGAGTCTGAAATTGCACTGCACAGGTCCCGCATATCAGGTTAGCGGTCGGTCTCGAACAAGGACATGTTCTTCAAGAGCACGTACGCATCCGGATACCGTCGTTCAACTGACTGACCACCTCCAACGCTTGGTTCGCAGCAGCATTGCCCGGTTTGACAAAGGGACTGTTGTGAGCAGCCACCATGGTGATGTTTGAGTACTTGCGAGCACAAAATTCGGGATAGCCATTGCAAGGTTGAGTGTTGACAACGGGAGATGCCGAAGCCGACGCCGACGCAGTCATGGTGGCATTCGCCGTGCTATTGCCGACCAGTCTCGTCATTGTATCTATGGAAGTGGTATGAATCGTCGAATTACCGGAAGTGGTAGCGTTAGCCACAGCGGACTCGGACCCAGTCACCATCGAGGACCTGACTTTGCCATTGCTGTCGGTGGGAAGAGTGAGAGTGGAAGTATAGGAGATATAAGTGCCGGTAGGCAAAGTTGCATCGCTGATATGATCTGTGATTGTTCCTGTGATCGTGAAGAGAGCATCTGTCGTCGTTGTGGTGCTGCTGCTAGTAGTAGAGGTATCTTTTGCAGCCAGCGCCAGAGGAATGGCTGCTCCCGCCAACAGTGGCAGCCAACGGGTTAACAACTGCATTGTTGCTGCGAAGGACGATGTGATTCGGACAGGTCGGAAACTGAAATCAGATCATATAGGTCGGGTCGTTCTATATCAGCATTGAAGGCTATAAATTGTGTCCACGACCTAGTCTTTGTATGTGCCTACCGAGTGAATGAGCTGTTCCGAATCCGAAACCCAGAGTCCAGTCCGTTGGTCGACGGTTTGATGGTTCAACAGGAGGATTGCCATGGGGAGGAGAGAATAGGTAAGGTAGAGAGGGTGTGGTAAGGTAATTTTAGGTATCATACCTGTAACGACGTGACGTAGTGTACAGGAACCTTACCTACTAACTACTAATTTAATAAACTAAATGAGGCATCTGAAGTTTAAAATAGCACTAGCGCAGACCCACTTGCAAGCCAGCGGATGATCAGTGGCTGATCCCAGGCAGATCGTGGCATGTTTTATAGCTAATCAAAGGTAGCCCTGCATTAGGCAACTGGAAAACGAAATCCAGGTAGTGGAGAGCTTCGGGGCTCAATGACGTTGAATTGCACATCAGGGGCCAATGAAAAATTACCATGGAATAAAGGGTGCTCCGTACTCTGCTCAAGTTGCTCAACAGTCGAGACCGTCACACCTTGGGATTTCACTCCAGAGTTGACCCGACGTTAGAGGCCCAACACAGAGGCATAAGAGAATGTCCAGCTAGATCCGACCAGGAGTCAATCAGGATACTGTCTGACTTTACGATGCCCTTTTTGCCAACGCGATCAACAGATCTACAGTGATAGTGTTTTATTTACGCTGACGAAAGTGGAGTTTCTCAGCTCAGGAGAAGGGGATGAGAAGGAGATACTCCGTATGTTCAAACTGATTGACAGAAAGGCAGTATCTCACAATATTATTGGCTAAATTGATATTGACTGCCACCAGCCTCCCTCATGGCTTTTTTATCTACCCACTCTGAAACTGTACCCGCTGACCCTTCCAGTTCCATAGTGTTATCCCCTACGGAGTACACCCTTTCCACCGAGTTACTACCACGTATCTAGTTTCCCTGGCTTACCCTACCTGGTATCTATCTACGGATGATTCTTAGATTCTTAGACTGATGGCGAATTGTTGTCTGGGGCTGAGCAGTTTGCAAGTGGTCAACTCCGTACTTGCCTTGACACTCTTCATTCTTCATCTGTCCAAGTTTCCTTCCCTCGAGATCGTTGCTGAAAATCTAGTCTCTCCGTCTCGATTCCTATTCTCTCGATCTCCTTACGATCTACCTTCTATTCACCATCATCCTCGTTTTTCTTGTTAGTTTCCTTGACTTCTGAGAATCCGGATACTCCAGATTGACTACTTATCGCCTGTCTTTATCGATGTCTAACGTCATTCGTCCCGCGCGTCCCTGAACTAGCTCTCCCATCATTGGGCTTCCACAATCATATAGATACTTTTTATTAGTTCTCTAATCCGGGCTGATATTACTTTTGATATTTTTTCTTATTCTTATTCTCAATTCTTATTCTCAGGACACCTAGCAATCACGCGCTTGATCCGTCTTCCCCAAAGCTCTATACTTATTCCATGGCAAAGCTTCCAGCATTCCGGAGACGATCAGAACGGCCGGTTTATGGCCGGTCCCGGTCGAAGGTGCTTTGGCATCGGATCATACGCTCTTTACTCTATCTGTTAGCCTGGGTCTTCTTGCTTCTGGTCGTCATTGGCAATGTTTCCGACAAACCCGTCCTCCGAGAGATCTACTTCCTCAAAATCGATCTATCAAACATCATTCCTCTGTCCGTCCCAAATGCCGTTCTCATCAACAGTATTGCCAGAACTATCGGTCTCCATGACTTCTACCAGGTGGGATTATGGGGTTTCTGCGAAGGATATATGGACTCCGGGATCACCCACTGCTCCAAGCCAGAAACCCTATATTGGTTCAACCCGGTCCAGATCATCCTGAGTGAGCTGTTGGCTGGAGCTACCAGTAGGTCATCCCTCTCCATCTCGGACTGTTATTTATCGAATGTCCAAGGTTAACGTCAGTTTCTCCTCCTCTCCCCCCATAGTTGCACTCCCAAGCGATATCACCGATGCTCTCAAAATCGCTCGCCTCGCTTCTCACTGGATGTTTGGTCTCTTCATCGCAGCTACCGTCCTGACCTTCATTCTGATCTTCCTCGCTCCATTTGCCGTCTCCTCTCGTCCTCCTCAGACAATCTCGCCTGATCCCGGTGTCAACCAATTGCACCCTCCGCACCGACGGCGCACCTTCGTTTTCCTTCGGGCCTTTCCTTTTCTCATTCTTACTTTCCTCGCCGCTCTCTTCACCATTGTTGCCTCAGTCGTTGCCACGGTCATGTTCATCATCTTCAAGAACGTCTTCACATCGTCTGGATACGATCTCAACATAGGTGCCGAATTGGGATCCCGCATGATGGCTTTCATGTGGATTGCGTCGGCATTCAATCTCCTGGCTTTCATCGTAGAGCTTGGTTCATGCTGTGCTGCCTGTTGCGGCGGCCGCAAGGCCCGGAAACAGCTCAAGTCTACGTCTATTAAGCAAACAGAGCGAGGGGCGGCGAACGAGAAGGACAGCCCCAATAGTCCTTCGACGAGCGCAACAGTCTGAACGGGGGATTCTACTCTTGTCTCTTTTTCATCAGGATCAACCCTTGTCGCTTCCTCCTGTGTCTCTCGAATGGCCCTGACTGGGAACGGATTCCCTCTCCAATTCGGCCTTTGCGTCGATCAAACAGCACGAGAGTATAAAAGGAGAGCACCTTCATTGGTACATTCGTTCATGCACCAATTTCCCGATCGAACTTGGCAAACCCGCAAGTGAGATGCTCCAACAAGTGTCGATACTCGACTCGATTACCATGTACATATACACGAAACCTGTTACCTTACACAATCATTATCTCGAGCCGCTGTGGACGGCGTCCTGATCGGCTACGACGAGATGTGGACTATCTGTTGCAACGAGCGCGTCGGGTCCAGACAGGTCTCAGGAGCATAAAGACCCAGCGTCTCATCTTTAGAGGATATATAAATGGTGTTCTATTTTCACATTTCCGGAGCTGATACCAATTTTGGGTTTACTTTTTGCTTTGCAACATTCATGATTCTTATGACCTTATCACGATTGGCATGATTGCTTAGATTCCATGTCCAAAGGGAATCGTTTTCTTCGCCATAGATATCTATGTATTTTGAGCTGAGCGGATAGATGATGAGACTTTATTTTGAGATTAAATAAGCCTAGCAAAAGTGTGTTGATGTCTTCCGTTATTTCATCAAGTGCTGATTAGTCTTAGGCTATGCAATTGTAATCCTGATCCGTGCTATGCATGAGAACCCTCCAAGATTGGTAGAACAATGGTGTATCGCATGAACGCCTCGATAGAAGACCAAAATGCAGTGTCGCCGATAATGAAATGGGTATCGAAACGTAAAAATTGGTCAGCCTCGAGCCAACTCCTCCTCCATCTCGCGGAGTAGCTCGTCCTCGATATCAATTTGGTCGTCATAGTTAGTATCGCTTGCTGGGTGTATCTCGGGAGGAGGTACGCTAGGCCGCTGATTGCTACTTGAGCGTGACGCAGGAGACTGCTGAGAGGCTCGAGGCACAGATTCCGAACGTAGCGGAGGCCGAGATCCTGCTCGAGCTACCGCAGGCTGTGCGGAACCTGATTTCGCTCTTTCGAGCCAGTTGTATCTTTTCTTCTGCAATGATTGAAGAAGCTCCCCGGTTTCCTGGGATGGCTCCGATGGAGCAATCGAAGCTAGATTGGGTGTGATCCCGGGTGCTTCGTCAGTAAGATCAATAGTCACTCTTTCTGGCTGTGGCTCTGCCGGAGTGGGATGTTGCACTGATCCAGGTGTGGTGCCACTAGGCTGCGGGTCTTTCTGAGCCGGATTCTGATGAGGCAGATGAGGATAAGGAGTGCTGGGCCCTTGAAAGGCTGGCATGACGGGTGGTTGAGTAGGAACAGGGACATGGCTTGGCGAAGAGGCAGGACCTGGTACGGGATGCTGTGAAACAGGCACGGCAGGAAAGCTCGCAAGCTGCTGACCGGGTGCAACGGGCTGCGGATATGTAGGGGGCCTGTACCCGCGCGGAACGGGAGCCACGGCAGGCATTCTCTTCTGAACATGGATCTCATAGAGGAGGTTGTTGTGTAAAACACTGAGATCATGTAGTCTGCCTTTCCAGACCTCTATTTCTTGCTTGTACTGCTCCGCTCTTTTTTGGTGTTGAGTAGACACGCGTCGCAGCGTCGCGTTTTCCCCCTCGAGTATCTGTTCCCTTGACTTTCCTGTTGAGGCTTCTAGTGCTGTCCACTTAGACCAAGCATTTCTGTATTTGTCTCTCTCGTATTTGAGTTGGTGAACTTTGTATTTGAGGTGCGAAAGACGGGCGTTGATTTGGTCATCGGCGATCCGAATGCACTTGACGTGAATACCCGGAGCTGAGGGAAGATAGCCCAAAGGCCCACGATACACAGGATATGGAGATATGTATTCAGGTTCATAATCAACTCGCTGCAGAGTCTCACGGTCGGCGTTGGCAAGAACATCTTGGGGATCGAGCGAGAACTGTCGCTTGGTCAATTCACTTGTAGGAAGTGGTACGCACTCAGCCTGATGATCGAAGGTCACAGGGTCAGCAGCTTGCACCTGAACATTGCCACTGTCTTCACAAGAGTTCAAGCTCGAACGACGGGACGCATCATACGAAGAACCCGCGTCTGCAGAGTGAGGTGTCGGTTGGTTCTCAAAAGAATACTCAGTTTCAGATAGGTCTAGTGGAATGTGGAAAGCAGGATCTTCGAATAGAGGATCAAAAAAGTCAAAAGGAGGCGCGGGTAATTGAGACTCTGCGATACCACCTGGTGTATTGGGCACTGTTTCAAATTGATCTAACTGAATAGTGTCAGGTGAGGACAGAGACGGTGTTGCATTCAGAGAAGGTGCACTGGAGCTCTGTAGTGAACCCAGCATCCGTCGTTTTTCGGGCCGGTGCCACAATCGGAAATCATCAGCCAAGGCTTCGTCGGCGGTCCGTTTCAAAGGCGAAGGATTCGCGTCGAAATTGGGCATCACAAAGTCGGTACCAAAGAGAGGATCGTAGAGCAGATCGTCTGCATTTCGCGTAGTGTTCGAGCTCAAGGGCTCTGGAAGTCTGGTCTGCGATGCGGCATTTGTGGCAACGACAGTCGACTCGACTGGACTGGCGGCTTGACCACTAGGAAACGGTGGCCCAACTTCGATATTCGATGAGCTCTCCTGTCTCAACTGAGACGGGTCGTCGGGCGTGTCCTTGCGTGAGCCTCTCGCCTGATCACTGTAGTTCGATCCTGCGGGCTGACTGGCCATAGATATTCTCACATCTCCGTCGGATGAACCGTGCTCGTCAAGCAACGGGTGCGGTTGAGTGACATTCGTAGGTTGTAGCAGCTGCGACCCAGGGGGAGGTGTAAGCCCCAGATCATGATAAGATGGGGGATTTGGCAGATCCTCAGGAGCAAAAAGGCTTTGAGGGTCATATGGTTGCGAAAATAGAGGGCAGGTCGGGAGAGAGGTAGAAATACCTTCAACCACGCTTCCTTCCATCTCGACCTTAGAAAGCCCAAGACAACCGGAAGTCAAAAACCAGGGCAGCACAGAATACCAGCCACAATCGGGGCCTCGGGTATGATCTGCTGGAGCGGTAGCTCGAAAATTATCGGTTGGTTTCATGCGGCGGATATTGAAGTTGCGAGGCACTGACGTCGCCAAGGCGTAAGTGATGTGGCGAGCAAAGCAGAATGAACAGAAAAAGCGCAAAGAACACTCTACCACATAAGGACTGATAAAGGCTACAGTTGAACAGAAAGCATATGCATACGCTCACGCCGAGTAGCTGTACTCTGTGGTGTTCAGCCGCTTGTGCCACTCTTGTTGTGCCACAGCTAAACAGAGATGACTATGCCAGAGGGCACTGCTCGATCACGCAACAGCTGACTGATAAGGCAAGGACCGTGTAGCAAACTATGCAAGGTACCACGAGTAGGGAATGAGAGAAAACCTCGGAATGGAACGGTCAGGCGAGTTCGATGAAGTCGACTCAACACAACACGATCAGACACGGACGATTAAGCAAGGAAAGCCATGGTTATTTTCGGCATGCATAAACGGCAATCAGGTCAAGCAGAGTTCAGTATGCCCAGAAGCAAACTAATAGAGTTCGCAGTCCTTCGCATAGATGCAATAGGATGAAGGAACCTGTAGGATATATGACGATATGGAGCCAGAGAGATGTCATAAAAGTGAAGATGGAACAAAACAACTGCGTTTTTCGAATCTGATAATGGGCATTCCGCCTTGTTCACCGCCTATACAACCGCTCACGTGTGCTCACCATCAGCTGTTGCGCTAACCCCAATCAGGATTGCAATGGGTGCTTAAAGGCCGGCAGGAAGGATGAGAGAAGCAATTAACCTCCAATACTTCTCCCCCCACCCGCAACGAGTCAACGAAGACTCTCAATCATCCAACATCCTCGAGGATTTTCGAGTCTCACGCTGTTCTATCTCACTCATAATGAGTGTCATTCTCTGTACTGGTAAGTATGGCTTGCGAAGATTTCCCGTGCTATCTAATTCGATCTCACTCTTTGTCGGAGCTGCGTGACTGACGTAGTTGTTGTGGGATGTTGCAGCGGGCTATGATCATACCATTCGGTAGGCGAAGCGAATGCTTTCTGGTGCTGCCTGATTCTTTGGGGCATTGTGCGCTGATCTGCCCGGAATAGATTTTGGGAGGCCCTCTCAGGAATATGTTCGCGGACAATCCAGCACCCTGACTCTCAAGTCAATCGTCTCTGCATCACTCCCGACAAGCGCTACCTAGCGGCCGCGGGACACAACAATGTCAAACTCTACGATATCAAGTCAACCAATCCGAATCCTGTCATGACTTTTGACGGTCACACGAACAACATCACGGGGGTCGCATTCCATTGTGAGGGGAAGTGGATGGTCACCAGCTCTGAGGACGGGACGGTGAAAGTATGGGACACTCGTACGGGAAGCTTGCAGCGCAATTATGCACACAAATCTCCAGTCAATGACGTCGTGATCCACCCCAATCAGGGTGAGCTAATTAGTGGTGACCGGGCGGGTATCGTTAGGGTCTGGGATCTGGGGGAGAGCGTCTGCACCCACCAGCTCATTCCTGAGGAGGACGTTGCTGTACAGAGTGTTAGTGTCGCAAGCGATGGCTCTCTTCTCTGTGCAGGGAACAAAAAGGTAACGCGTTGAACTTGGTGTTTCATAGCGTCGTTGACTAATCAGCATTTGGTCCTAGGGCAATGTCTACATCTGGCGCATGATCCAGGACGCTGAATTGACTCGTATTGTTCCAATCTGCACCTTCCAAGCTCACAAAGACTATCTTACACGGGTTCTCCTTTCTCCTGACGTCAAGCATTTGGCAACTTGCTCCGCCGACCATACCGCTAAGGTCTGGAATCTCGATCCTGGTTTTCCCCCGGCTAAGATGGCGGCGATAACAGCCAAGGCCAGAGCCAACGGCAATGAGTCGCCTGCGCCTGAAGTCAAAGAGTCTGTAGCGAAGGAGCCCGTTGCGTCCCCGACATCCCCCAAAGTCCAGGACCTTCACATTGGCACTGACCTGGGAAGAAGTGGGGAGTTGAACCCGATTTCCTACATCAAAGCAAATGCTCCTGCGAATCCGGAGCCACAGCAGATTTTCCCGGTGCAGCCGGATGGACCTCCGATGGACATGACTACGGGAACCCCGTTTCTAGAGACCACATTAGCCAATCATCAACGCTGGGTGTGGGATTGCGCGTTCTCTGCAGATTCCGCCTACCTTGTTACCGTTTCGAGTGATCACTATGCGCGTCTGTGGGAGCTGGCTTCGGGTCAAATCATTCGTCAATACAGCGGCCATCACCGCGGGGCGGTATGTGTTGCATTGAACGATTATTCGGAGCCTCGTTGAGGTGGGGTAGAGTAGCCCAGTGAAATTCCGGGGTTCGCGAGTCATACTACATGTCCATGTTCGTGATCTCTTCTTCCTTTTGTCTCGATTGATTCTCTTGTTCCTTGGTTAGCATGGCGTCTGGTCTTGGGAGAAGGGAAGCTTTGACTATCGTTTGATACGGTGTTTCGGTTGTCACCCTTAGCTTATCCAGTCTAATGATTTTTCTTTCGACTTCTTTCACTATGTTGTCCTGTAGACATTGTCTATTCCTGAATTGGGCGGTTCTGAGATACTGGCGGTGAATTCGATGACTCGATGGGGTGAATGCATTCGCTGATGCAAATTTCCTCCTGACACCTCTTTCCCCCCAAGTCTGCTGGAATGTTAACTTCTATAGGTCTCGGCACCTGACGTGCTGATACAAATAGCGGCAATCTCTGGAACTAATCGATATCGTAATCAACATTGTTCTTGTACACCAAGTCGCTGAGAACCTATAACAGGACGAAGGCATGCTAAAACAACCGCAAAGTCGTAGAAGAAATAGAGATGAAATGAAGATCACATCAGAACGAAACATGGAGATATCAAAATCTTCAGAACAAGATGGGGGGGAGAGTATATTTTTTCTTTTTATAAGTTTCTGACTGAGACTAGCCCAGAGCAAACCATGTCACACTGACGACGACATCGAGGCCCCGCTCTTCAGCCCCGGGGTACTTGAATGTCCACATTCCATCACGGTTGACGTCCCAGAAGGCGCCCGAGGCGGAGTGCATACCACGCTTGCCGGCGTTGCTGACGGCGCCATCCGCTGCGGAGGACTTGTCGATCAAGCCTTGTTGAACGATGGTGCTGTTGACGGTGAAGCGGTATGGAGGTGATGTCGCGGGAGGCTCTGGGGCAGTCGCTGCAATAAGGGCCTTGAGGATAGTGTTCTACCGAATCAAAGGGTTATAGATCAGACATGCTCTTGGTAGTCAACGTGCCTGAAGGCATATCATTTGCCACAGGTTGATATACTCACAATGATTTGGGAGTTCCATTCGCCAACCTTGGCGTGCTCGTAACCCTCGGCGCTCTTCAGGGCCGAATCACAAGCCTTGAATCAATTTGTCAGTACAAGTATATCGCCCAAGTTGAGATCTTCGCTATTGTAGGGTATGCAAGTCGAGCAAAATGACTACTATTGACGGAGTGGACGAGGCAAACAACGCACATCTGTGGCAATCTTGGTGAGCTCCGGAATGGGTACGGGCTAAAGGCAGAGAAAGAGTCAGTGAGTATCCGCGACCGAAAGTGCGATATTTGGATGAAAGACAAAGTTCGATGCTGAGCGTCGCAGATGATGCTGGTGGGATAGATAGGGTCAGTCACGCACAGAAACAGGTCCCTTCTCAACAGCCATTGTATATGAGGCTTCGAGTAGAATGGGTTGACAAACGTGATACGTGAGCTGAAGTGCTCTAGTCAGCAGGTATATCACTTCTTGAGCCTATAAAACGCCGTGCAGGTCGAGGGAGTGCGGCGCAACGACGAATGCTGAAGGTGCGATTGCGGGGGATGAGACCGCTGTTCGGAGCTAGTCAAACAAACCAATTGACAGGATTCAGGTCCAGTTTAAGCTTACCAGGTGGGGTACAGATATGCAGGAAATGTAGATAACCAGATATGGATAGCACTGCAGGAAACGGAAGAAGGGAAAAGGTTAGGAGGTCACAGCCGATGTGCTTTCTGCGTTGGATGTTTGGGGACGACACACATCAGAGTCCGTGGCATCATGGATGTGGCTTTGCGGCTGATGATTGGACAACGCACTGGGCCAAGCTATTCCAGAACCAGCTTAGCCTTTACTTTATCTCACACTGTCACCGCCACAAGGACACGGCAGAACGATATTCCATGTTAGGGCCTCAGGCAGTCACAGCACAGCAAAGAAACGGAGCACGTGGGGTCTCTTGAGCGGTCAGATTGGGCAGAAACGCATAAGCGCTACACACTAGTCTTCTTTGAGCTAGCATTGACCGCTTGTCATACCGGGAGGGGTAGTTCTCCCGATTAGTGTCAGTCCAGCCCTTCTAGTTGACTTAGTTACATCAATCCAGCCAGCGTCCATATTTTACCTGCTTGCAACCATTATTATAGCTTCGCTTCGGCTGTGCGGCCTTCTTCTCTTACCAATTCTTTTTTCTTCTAGCTGAATTCACATTCCTCTGTGTTATCAAACATTGATCAATCGTTCCTCATCGAACCCTTCCTTGGTAGCCCTCTCTGAACTCTTATCAGCCTTTAATCTCCCCATTCTATTACCAATTTTCCACATTCACCCATAATGTCGAGTCAACCTCTCCTGCAGACTGCTCCAGGTATGTGTCACCGATAACAATGGGTCATCACTTTGGATCGCCATGTACTTACCCATCCACCCGTCGATACAGGCAAGCGAATTGCCCTGCCAACCCGGGTTGAACCCAAGGTCTTCTTCGCCAATGAACGTACCTTCCTCTCGTGGCTCAATTTCACAGTGATCCTGGGCGGACTGGCCGTTGGCCTGCTCAACTTTGGCGACCGCGTAGGTCGCATCTCCGCCGGATTGTTCACGATCATCGCAATGGCAGCCATGTTATACGCCCTCTTCACATTCCACTGGCGGGCGCAGAGTATCCGGCGACGGGGGCAGAGTGGGATTGACGACCGATACGGTCCAACTGTACTGGCCTTGTCGCTTTTGGCGGCTGTTGTGGTCAATTTTATCCTCCGTATGAAGGTGGACTGAAGATTGCCTCGCGGGCGTGTGCCGTTCATTTTTTTCCCTGCCTGTAAATCTCCTCATGACACATTCTGTTTGGGTCAATTGATAAGCCGACGGTCCTTCCGCGCTTGGTGCATTGTATAACACTGCAACAAGTACAGGTTCAAGCGAACTGATGATGACGACGACGTCTATGTGCCAAGAGCTGTGAGACAGCTCTTTTATTTTCTTGTCTAGGAGTTTGGTTTTTACTCCGCATGTACCTTATGATTCAACCTGGGGTTTCCATCTCGCCTTCTGTGTCTGCTTCAACCAAAGGACTCCGAATGAGGGTGCCCGGAATGATAGAAGCTTAAGTTGGCAGATCTCTTGAGATGAAAGCACGTTGTCTATTACATGAATCCTCTACCCGAAACCAGGGACGATTCTCGCAAGTCTGGGTCAGATATTCTTCATTAATGAATGTTTCGAAGTTCCAGCGGTCTGCCTCTTTCCCGGCGCGTTAACCGTCGCATTGCCTCTGTACTTGGTAGTCCAGTGGCAACTCCTCTGAGCATGCTTTGCCCAGGCTGCATATTTGATGGGATTCTCAGAATGTCGACACCCGCTACCTTGATTGTTCGGGCATCAGAAGAGTGATCATCCAGCTAGCCCGCGGGAATCGGAACTGTTGGCGATCATCTGAAGCAATTCTGTTCGGAGTTTGGAGGTCGGTGCCGTGTGAAGGAGTAGGCGCATAAATCTGATATAATGGAGCAACATTGGCTCTCATCGCTGAATCTCGATATTTCTTTTTGTTGAAACATGTCGGTTATGCGCTGCAGACATTCAGATGAGTCTTCCCGGCGTATTCGAGCATAGTAGACGTGAAGCTATAGCAGACGGTGGAGCGTAGGAAAGTGCGGTTGCAACGGCGCCGGCTTCATCGTCTATTCAATAATCATACAAGCTTGATTTTGATCCGCTTATATGGATCTGATGCGATAGAAATATAAGCACTAAGATAATCTCATCACTGAAAGCATTCCAGAGAGTTGGCTTGAATTAATGTTAGTGTTCATCTTCCTCTATCTGGGGGCACTTTAATACAGTAAAGATAGTCTAGTCTCAAAACCAAGGAGCTTCTACCAACCGAATACATAGGAAGGTAAAGGTAGGTAGCTTAGGTACCTTGTCTTGTGAAAGGTAGTAGGCATGGCGGCAATTTGATTCGTTGTGACTGCGGTGGCGATGCAGTCCGACCTAGGATTGATCCATGCCTGGTAGGTACCTTAGAAGTAGATAACTAGACACCTTTAGCAGCGATTATAATATAATGTCAAACAACTAGCCGTAGTGCCGGCAGAATCCCGAATAGGCAGTTTTACCATCATGTGATCAAAAAATCAACTATTCTATATTCGATATAGGCCATACGGGTAGCCTTAGGATAGGTGTAGATTATACGACTCCTTTATCTACGCGTTTTGATGCTTATATGCGTATATCATGGTGTAACGAAGATATCGGTGTAACGCATGGCTCTAGGGGTTGAGGAGTAGGGGAACCCCATGAAAAAGGCGTGCCTTCAGGTGTATCCATAGTATATATAACTGTAGTAGTAGTGGAATATGAATCGTATATCTCATCAAATTGCTACCTTAGGGAGGTCTATGTGTTTATGATTTGATACCTAAACCTAGCAGCTAGTGTGGCTCGGTATGCTGATTAAGCATTATTATAATGGAACTAAAACATTATAATGATTATAATAATATTATAATCATTAACTTAGTTAACTTAGTTAACGTAATCAACCACCGAGCGACGAATACCACCGAGCGACGAATTTTTGCCGCTTCTAATAATATTTTGAAGCTTTTCAACCACCAACATCATTAGACTTGACTATCTAGTAGCTGAATATATAGC